GAGCGGGAGGAGGGGTAGGCAAAGGAGTGGGAAAAAGAGGAGGGGCGGGAGGAGGAGTGGGAGGGGAAACGGTGTCGGAGGGCGCGGTGTCCCAGCCCTCCGCTGTGTGCCGAGTTCAGACCTTCATTGTGTACCAGGTTCAGCCATCCGTGGCACACTGACTGATAGCTGACTTCCGCCATGTGTCTGGTATACCCGGGGTGTACTCTGCTGCAGACTGGTCCGATCGGCACTTACCGTAGCAAAAAGGAAGGGGGGTGCATCACTGGACTGCCCTTTGGTCCACGCAGGCTCAGCGCCCTGCTGTACAACAGAGCACTACCGGCCTGTGGCCGTGGTAGCCGCCGGGCTCACCCAGGGATGTGAAAATAGAGAGACCGGCGCGGTCTTTTCTACCGCGTGCCAAGTTATGGGTTAGATGCACGGGGCTGTTGTTCCAGTCAAACAAAAGAGAATTAAGGAAAGAAAAAGGAAAGGAAAATAAAAAGCGAAAGTGAGTCGTTTGTCAGACTAGATTCTGCACGTTGATCTGGACCTTTGCTTTAGTTTGGCATGATTCAGTGGTTTTAGTAGTGGCGGTGTGTTTTCCTTTCCTTTTCTTCTAATGTTATCACGACTATCATTATTGGGTCCCCCTTCTGTCACTTCGTGGGGGAATTAACGGTTCGTTTTCAAACCTTGATAGTATGCGGGCGGCGTCGACTGGCCAACCCTTCGCGTCTTAATTTTGCCGCAGGCGCACTCTATTGAGTTCTGTACTGTAGATCCCCAAAATGGGAGCACCCGCGGCCGCCTTGGTAGGAGGCTTATCACCCCCAGTGGGAGGTCATAAGCCCCCTCCTTGCCATCGGACACGGGTACCCATCAGGGATAGGCCAGTGGTGCGTTTTGAAGAGAAAAGGGTGCCTGTTGGTTTCTCGTTATGGGACCACCGCGTTGAATCTGCTGTCGCTTTGTGCTGAAAGCAAGATGACACGCAGTTGACAGCGGACGACGCTGCGGACGCTACGACCGTTGGGGTCCTCGGTCGTTCTTGTTTAATTTATTTTATCTTATTCTATTTTATTTTCTATTTTTCATCGATCTGAAAATGTTTTGAGTGTTCTGATTAGAACGCGGATAGTCCTGCGCATGGCAACCATATAAGAGGACGGGCTGTCGTGCTACATGGAGCTGGCCCGCCATGTCTGATCTGAGGACGGGATAGTCATGCTGGAGAGCGCCGCGGTCGTTGTTGTTTTTTTTCTGAGGTCTTTGTGCCTAGTGCCTCGAGCGTGTTGCAGAGGTGTAGGTAAGCAGTGGTCTTAGACGTCGGCTATCGTGGAAAAGGCGGCTATGGCGTACCGAGATGACCTGGGCGGCTATAGGCCAAGGTACATGAGGTACTCCTGGATGTGAGAGCGTGAAGATGAGAAGGGTACTTTGGTTGAGACCATGCTATCCTACGGAAAGCCTACGGGGGAAGTAAGGCTAAAGATTAACGTCTGTGGTCACCGGGAGCAAGAAATGAGGAGAGACAAGGGACTACAGGCGGCTATGACCGAGGCGCGCACAGGGCTGAGCGGAGGTGTAGGCGAGACAGAGTGACTGCGGAAATGCGAGTGATAGTCACTTACCATGAGGATGATTCTTCAACCGGGACTACGACCAGGGAGGTGCAGCGCCTTGACCGGGACTCCGAAAGGGAGTCTGAAATGAGTGACGCTGAGGCGATTCAGTCCTGGCACGGGTGGGACCAGTGGCAAAGGGACCACCCGCCCGGCCGGGCCTGTGGAGAGCGGTCCTGAGGGCAACTCGCAACGACGAGACTAAGTCCACGGGGCAGTTGCAGACGGGGCAGGCGCATTTTTGAGAGCGAGAGGGGAGAGGAGCACGACTCCCTTGGTTGACGTCAACAGTTTCACACGGGCTTCACAAGTGTTGGTCTAGCGAAGAGAGCCGTGAAGCAAAAGAAAGCGGTGTGCATTGGGAGTCGCGTCGCGTGACCTGTGCATGCTAAGGTGACAGACTGACTCGGTCAACACCAGCTGCTCCTCTACTCGATATGCGCTCGCTGTTTTGGCGGTCTTCATCTCTAATCTTGGTGGTTCGTATGTGGTCAGTGTGACAATGCTTTAGCCATAGTGTGAACATGAAAGGGGGAGGAGCTTGAACGAACGACCCGTGATTCGCAGCACGCTCTTCTGCGGTAGCCAGGGTAGACACGCCGCGGGGTGGTGGCCCCTACTATTATCATCTCGAACCTGCAGGAGGAAGAAAAGGGGAGTGCGCGCGTGCACTGGTCAGGGATGCGCTAGCCTCTGCGAGTGTAAGGAAACATCGCACGCCAAAAGTTAATAAAGAGAGGGGTAGGTACGCTCAGAATAGTCCGTATGCGACTACCTCGACACTGCATTAATTGCGTCAAGCTCATAGAGGGTCTAGTGAGAAGTGTGTTAAGTATGAGATTATGCACGAAAAGGAGGCGGGGAAGTGAAATTTGCCCCGTGATGATGGCTGTCTAGTGACGACTGCGGCTGTTTCCAATCATTGGTGTCGTATCCCTGGGACAGAGTCCCGTCTTTTTGATTGAATTGGTCCGTAATGAGCACTCTCTTCTTGTTGTCTTCGATTATTTGTTGAAGAACTCTACTTCTTGGCCTGACCTTCATCCTCGGAAGACGGAGGTGGACAGACGACAGTTGACGAAGGATGTAAACATGCTATTCTTAGGTCGAGCCTCACATGACGGTCCTGAGGTAGGGTAAGTGAGCCTGCTATAGTCCGGTTCACTCTCTAGTGTGACTCGGTCGGAGTGCAAAGGGAAGAGGAGAATAAGACACTGACCAGTGGGAGGGACATCAGATCAGGTCTATTCAAACACCCCTGAGGGGAATGTGGGTTTTTGTTTGTTGACGTAACTCGCCTTCATTTGTAGTTCGCGCCGCCTTTCACCTTCAAAGCCAGAGGAAGGGTGTCAGTGTGAGGAAACAGGTACTAACTGTAGATAGAGGTGTTATTGCACTGGACTCGTTGATGGGGTTGTTGATGCCATTGTAAGCGTTGACCAACCCACTGATTTTGTTAATTCCCACTTCGCGAGAGAATGCTACTTAGCAGAAAACGTTACAGTCAATCGATGGGGGTTGAGATGCAAAAATTTCGTGTACAATTGGTCTGCAAGATCGCTCGTTGCTTAAACCCCTGCTAGGAGAATGAACTATTGGAATCATTAACTGTCCTACTTTATTTTCCCGCTCTTCGTGGGAGTTTAAATTGAAACTAACTAGGGTAAGGATGCAAGGGACTAATCAGTCTGTTTATCAGTCAAGTCCCCTCTAGACCTCGGTCTGTGTCTTGATTCTTGATCTCACTAACGGATGTTTCCCTGGATACAAACTGAAGTAACACACTTGCCCTCCTTCTTAAGTGACCGCTTTGCGTCAATTGAGTGGCGGACCCACTGCAAATTGATTACGGACCCTCTTGCTGTTCACTAGTGAGAGACATCTGATCTTGAGTCGACCAGTGCTAAGCAGGGAGCCTACGGCGAACCAGGACATGAGTTTTGAGAAAGCTTCAAATTGGGTGATTCGAGAGAACTCAGGGAGGGGCGAGTAATGATGTATGGAAAAGGTGAGCGATGTCCCATGTGTGATTGCTTCGTGAAGGGTTGATCGTTAAACGAGCTGACTGGGAATCGACACTCCCAACAGTAAGTATTGGGCGTCTCTACGCTTCGCTCAGTAGGCTCTAATTGGACAAATAAGGGTCACGTGGAGCCCTTCGCCCACATAAAACGAGAGACAGGAATTTGACGATTACCCCTTTTTGTTGTTTGCAACCGGTTGGATGGGGAAGAAACAGTGTATTCTCAAGAAAATCGTGTACCTGCTCACCAAATTCTTGGTTGATGGAGACTAGCATTAGAATTTTGCTCGCTTTGCTTGTTCGAAACCACGATTATTCGAATTTTGATTCGAACTATTGAGAATTTGGTGTACCACAATTAGAACCTCCCATTTAAAACCAGACAGCCGGTTTATCAGCCTTGATTTCAAGTTTCATTGGCAGCTCTCCCAACACTCATAAGTCATTACTGCAAGTTTGTGCACCGTTGAGCGCTGACGATGATAATCTTCCATAATACGCTGTGTGGTGATCAGACGGAACACACTAAGCGTTACACCATGAGTGTATCATGGAGGAGATCATCATCAACGTCCACTAGTACAACGTCAATGGGTGAGGATTCGGCAGACTGATAAATTTTGTTCTATTTGAGTCATTTCTATAACTACCCACTCGGCCAGTCGTCGTTCACCAACTATTCAACCAACCTGTCAACGGGGCATCAGTACGAACCTTTTTCCGAGGATTGTTATCATGCCCTACGCAGTCTGTGAGCATAGACGGCAAACGTCTTCCCACACAATACACGAACGGATGCTCGTCGACAACAGTCCTGTACATGAGCGTAGGTAGAGAGCGGTGCACAGTGTTGCGTCCCTCTGAGCACAAATGACGAGGGAGGAGTGGAGCAGTGCCGCCTTCTTTCTGTACGAGGACAGTGGTTGTGAAGTTGAGTAGGGGATGCGTAGCATGTAAATAAGCCTCGGTGGTTGAAATGAGGTCGGCTTGCTGAAGTCATCCTGAGCATTGCCCAAGTGGGGATCTAGCCAACTGTACCCCGAACCTCGCGTTGACAAACTGAGTGTTCAGAGGATCTACGCACTATCTGTAAATGAGAACTGAGTTCTGGGACCTTCCAAACTGTGAATGAAAATGGCCCATGATCGAGAAATGGCATTCGACGCTCCCCATGCAGTGGACTGATAGACACAATAGTCAATATTACCCTCGAGCGCTGTCTACCTTGAGTTATCACTGGACAAACCATTGAGCTAATCAACTGAATCTCGTTCGCGGTGGCCGTGTCTTCATGTGAACTGTACATAGCAAAACTTGTGCAAGTTCCTGACTCGAAAACCCTTGAATGAAGCTTCGATTACTGTCTATATGGGTGTTACTTGCTGAATGACACATTGAGTCAGAACTGGTTGCACGGCCTTACGGCGGAAAGGAGACAATGCTCACGACACCATGCAACAAAACCGTCAGGATAAGCAAGATCAGGACCCTGTGTCAGAGGTATACTCTACCCTATATTCTACCATGGGAATAGGATCAATCCCATGTGTAAGGTTATTACGGCTTTGTGCATGTGTTTATAAGATCGAGATCTGGTTCATGTTGGGTCCCGGTTTCGGAATGAACTGACCCTTGACGGTCGAGTACCCAATTGCACGCCTTAGGCACTCAGTGACTCGGCCGGGCTTGGACAACTTTTCAGGGTACTCGTACACAGGGGTTTGTACCGAGAATAGAGCACTCTGCCACTATCGGGTGACGCAGGGAGTTTTCTTGTTTGTACCTAGGTTTGCTCTTGCAGAATATAGAGGGTCCTCGTGTTGAAGCCCACTGTAACGAGCACGAATTGTTGGCCTGGATGAGGCTGTGCACTGAGTCAAGGAAACGGCGAACTACATGCTAGCAAACTTAGTATCAAAAAATCCTTATGCCTAGCGCGAGGGAACGACGTTCAGGTTGGGTGCCTCGTATACTGATCACCAACCTTGACTCATCCTAACGAGGAGTTACAACAGGAAAAGGAGAGAAGTGGATCGTGCCGGGCAAAGAACAGTCTGGAGCCTATCGCAACAAATCTGAGCGAGATACCAAACAACCTTGGTCTCCTTAGCTGCCTTTCCCTCCCTCATGTCAACAACTCGAGCACCGGGGTGGAGGAAGTCATGAAGGGAAAGGAGGTCCTTGTGATGAAATATAACGTTAGTAAAGACAAGTATGATGGATGGGAAACAGAAGCTGGTCAAGTGTGTGGAAAGCTTAAGTCGATTCTGAGGGAGCATGTCGTTCAAAGAATTAAGGAAGAGAGTCACATAGAGTATGTATTTTATTTTTACAGTCACACAAAGAAACTTCACAGTACGGGTTCATTTCTAGAAACGGTCGAGCAGGCCAAGGCGAAGCTCCAGTGAATGCAAAGGTGTAAAACTCTTTCCTCGGAATTCCCGCTGGCAATCCAACTAGCAAAACACTACTTTATAATCCACAACGCTCGGACATTCTCAGGTAATGAGTGTTCAGTGAGTTGGCGATTCAGCAACACCCCTCCATCAGAGTAACCGAGAAACTTTAGTCAGGGTCATTCAACGCTCAAGCATTTTCGGTTACTTAGGAACTAGCTGTAATCTGACAGTGTTCTCATCAAGAGACACAGATCAATCTCAACACCCACTGTCAGAATCAACTGGCCATCGGTCAATCCCATTTGCCTCATCAGATATCTAGGCATTACTCTCATAAAAGAGCGGAGAGATTGGTTCCAACAACTAGCATCAGCACATGAGTACAATTCAGTCCTTCTCAGTCCAGGAGACTGTCCTGGCCAGCCTCAACAGGATAGCCTCCAACGATGCTTTCCAGTACCGGTACGTTAGTGCAACTGGCTTTAAGCAAGGATAGTTATCTATTTTTGTAGTTCATACTGAGTTCGCAGAGGGTACCATTCACGATTTGAGGATCTACCTCAAGAAAGGCAAGGAGACTCGTGAGCACTTCGATTCAGTTTGGATCTCAGCAGCCAGGCATCTTAAGGGGAAAGAGAGAGAGCTTGACGAGATTGGTACCAAGCTGATCCGTAGCTTTGGACCCAAGCTCTATATTGATTATCCTAGGCCGCCAGTTCCCTTTTCTCTCACATATGGTTCTTACAGGGGTGAACTAGTGGAATTGGCCAAGAGGTACATCTCTCCCGCAGCAATTGACTATGAGGCAATGACTGAACCTTCAGAGTTCCGGCATCTCATACGAGGGGTCTTTTCTCAACCATATCTTCCTATTCTATGGGAGGAATTTTCGGCTATGGTTGACTTCCGTATCATGGGACTTGGAAGGAATTGTTCAGAGCTCGCAGGTTTCAGGTGGCTCTACATCCAGAGGCCACAACCTCAGGGAGTACGGAGACATGGCTCGAATCACAAGAAACACACAACAAAATGAGTGATTGAGTGTGTGATTCAGAGGGATGAGTGAGGACTCTTGACTAGTGCTGGCCATGCTCCCCTCACGTGTACTCTCTGAGATTATTATGGGTTCTCATTCTTCCCTCATTTATCCTTGTCATTGCCCAAGTCAGTCGGTCTAGCATCGTCTACTCTGCCTTCGTTTGATGATCATGTTCTTTGGTGATTCACTCACAGTTCTCAAAATTAGAAAATTCGCAAGATTGATGTATGCATGACACACCAATTTTTTACGATTGTTATTTGCATGACCTTTGCTGTTCCGAATCAGAATAAAAGATTCCTAAGACCGGGGACCGGCGAAGACCGCAATTGAAGGGTCTCGCTCGAAGCTGTACGCACACAACAGGAAGGGATTTGCTTTAATTAAACCACCAGTACCTCGCTCAGCTATCGGCCACGGGCCTTCCCGTATACGCGCCGCAGCCTTAGGGGGGTCGGCCAAGGGAAGGCCCGGTCGTAGCCAGAAAGCCGGGGCCCGTTTCTGTAGGGACGACACAGGAGAGCGAAAAAAAAATAAAAAAAAAATGAAATACACAAAGTGTCAAACGAAAAAAAAAAGAAATACACAGAAAGAAAGTCGCGCGGGAG